AGGAAGCTGAGACTTGGAGAAGTTCATTTGAGTTGCCCAAGGTCACACAGCTTGTAAGTGCTACAGCTGTTTCTCAGGCGTGTAATTTTACTCCCGTAACCTCATTATCAGTCCTCCTCAGATTCTTTCTTTCAGCTTTAAAGAGGTTTCAATCTAGGATCTCGCTGATCTTTTCCTTTTTCTTGTTCAGGTTTCATTCTAAGAGAAGAGAGTATTGGAAAATTGATATACATCCAATCTGGAGTCATGCTTTTATGGATAGTCCTAGGAGAGTCTAATTGGCCTTCCAAGCCAGTGTGTATAGGATTCCCTGTCGTTCATCTGTGCCAGACGACCTCCCTGCCTCCCTTTGCCATTGATGGGAGGTTCATTGCTTCCTGAGTCAGTCCCTTATTTTGGTTCCTCTGTTTGAGGAGTTCTTATACTCAGCTGAAATTGTCTTTCCTGGAATTTTCAGTCTGACAGAAGGAGATCCAAAAGTACCTGGATTTGTCTCTTATTATCTTCCCTTCCCTCAACTTCCCTTTCGCTTTCTTCCCCTCATCTCGCCTCCCCTTGCCAAAAAAATGTTTTATTGTAGATTATTTTAGATGTATTTAAAAGTTGTCAAGACAGCACAGCGTTCTGTATATCCCTTACCTTATTGTAAAAATCTTAGAGTACTGTAGTGTATTTGTCAAAACTAAGAAGCCAGTATTGGTACATTACTATTGACTATAAACTCCAGACTTTAGTCTGATTTTACTAGTCTCCCCCACCCTGCCCACCCCCATGCTCTGTCTCTGTTCCCAGATCCCATCCAGGACCCCATCACATTTTGTCATTAGTCTCATCTGGTGTGTGCTAGTTTTTTAGTCTTTCCCTGTTTTTCATGACCTGACAGTTTTGAGGAATACTAGTTAGGCATTTTGTAGAATGTTCCTTAATTAGGATTTATCTGTTGTTTTTGTTGTGCGGTTATGGGCTTGGGAGAAAAATACCACAAAAGTGAAGTGCCATTCTCACCACATCATATTAGGGACACATGATATCATTTGCCTTATCACTGGTGATGTTAACCTCGATATTCTAAGGTAAAGTTCTCCTCCCTCCTCTTTCCATACACAATTTTTTAGAAGCAAGTTATTATGTGTAGCCCACACTCAAGAGGTAGGGGGATTAAGCTCTAACCCCTGGAGGGGGCAGTGTCTACATAAGTTATTTGGACTTCTGTAAGGAACATTTATCTCTTCTCCTACATTTATTTATTTATTTATGTTTATTTATTTATGCAATCACTTATTTAGATCAGTATGGAGTGAAGCACATTTTTTTTTGTATTTGGGGTTATAATCCATTACTACTTTATTTTCTTACCCAAATTGTTTCAGCTTTGACCACTGGGAGGCCTTCCAGTTGTCTCTTGTGTCCTTTTGACATGGCCCATCCCTTTGTTTTTTTAAGGACTTCCTTACTTTCTGGCACAAGATCTTCTTGTATTTTCCCCTGCCCCATCCCTTGAATCAGCCATTTCTCTGAGGATCCCTGATTCCTTTTATTTGAGAATGATATTAGAAACCAAGATCTGGCCACTGGGTGTGCTCATTGCTACTGAGGTGTCATTACTTCTAGATTCTCTCGGTGGCAGAACTAGGAAATAGATGTATGTATATCAGCCCATGTCACACACGTATCTATGATATTTCTGTATCTACATTTGTTTCTGCAGTAAAGCTTTTCTTTTGAGCATTTGTATTTTTCTGTGTAGCCAGCAATGAAATGTGATTCACAGCCTACTATCACCAGTGGTAATGTTAAAGTTAAAGTTAAAATGGAGATCTTGGCATATATGTGGCTTAAGAACTGAGCCATCTTTTAGTTGGATCATGTCATTTTAGAGATGAAAAGATCCTGAGAAGTTTATTGGGATCCTACGAGGTTAAGGGGCTGCTTAGTGGTACAGTCAGGTTTGGAATCTGGGTGTTTGAAATGGAGCCTTTTTATTTCCACCATATCTCATGGCTCTTTAAGACTGATCAGTATTCTTCACTTTGTATTCAACTTAATAATTAGCTTTTGGGAATGCTTTAAGCAGATTAGAATGTAATTTTATAAATTGATGTGCACAGGTATTACCTAGCTAACAGATGTCTGCTAGAGTGTTACCAATGAGGTAGTTGGTTCTCCAGCAATATATCTTAGATCAACAATTTGAAAATGATGCTCTCATGGCCAGATGTTAGTGGGTGAACCTTTTCAAATGATTATGATGATTATTCTACCTTGTTTTACTTTTTATAACTATCTTTTAAAAAAATCCTTTTGCTCTGGGAAGAGAATCATAGGACTCCTATAGGATAGATACTTGATGTATATACCTGCTTTTTAGAAATGGGATATAATGAAGCAATGAAGAAATCTGCTTAATGTTATCCAAAATGTTGGTGATAGGGTAAAAAGGAAAAATGAAAGCTGTAGCCCCCACAGCCCCACTTCTAACAGGCCAGCCACACAGCTCCTATATTTCAAATTGCTCTTGGCAGCTTGTAAAGCAGAGAATACTTGAATGCTTGTCTCCAGAGACTCCTGAGGTTATAGGACAGTCCTAGGATGCCTTCAAACGTTCTAGCCATTTCCTTTGAGAAGTGGGTGTGTTTACACTGGGTAAATGTGTCTTGTCACCATGTAACACTAAAATCATCCTGTTCTTTTCCATCTGTACCTGTTCATTCCAGAGACTTATCATTTTGTTTTTGTTTGGTGCATTGTGAACATCCAAGATTTTTAGTGGAAATGAATGGTAACAGCTGTTTTTCGTGTACCAAATAATATAATTGTAAACCTTAACCTTGAGATGATATGTCCAAATTTTTCCAAGTGTGGAAATGACTTGACTTGAAAAGTTCATTTTGGGGTAGTTATCCCAATACAGAATCACATCCATCTCCTTGCCATCAACTTCATTCAAAGAGAGCATTTCTGTAGGTTATTTTTTAATTCCAACACTCCCTTCTTAACCTGGCTTTTCCTCTTTAACATAGCGTATTTTCATACACATAAACATACACATACCCTAATGTCCCATCTTCCTTCTTTTCTACTTTATTCTTCTCCATAGCTCTCACCACCATCTAGTAGACTATGTATTTTACTCCTTTAGCTTCTTAATTGTCTGTTTCACCCAACTAGAATGTAAGCTTTATGAGAGCAAGAGATTTGTTTCATTGACTGCTATATCCCTAGACCCAGTATAGTACCTGGAACATAGTAGATACTCAGTGAACCCCTCTGAATGAATGACATGGAAGTTGCAAGTTGTGATCATTTGGCCTCTGATTTTAATATAAATACAAATAGTTGAGTTTTATTTTCTAGGATTATTTTATAAGCGAAATAAAGTACATTATTTAAAATGGGGATTTATCTATTCACTAAAAATCTCAGAATTTGTATGAAACGTGGTATAGCTATTTAGAAGTGATGCGGTTACTCCAGAAATGCCGTGCTGTTATCACATGCAAGGAATTTTGAAATTCTCTGCTAAATATCACTCATGAAATGAGTGGAAGAGCTAAAAGGAAAAACATGTTTTAAGTTATAAAGTGGATTACCTTCAGATTTACCCAAAGATATCTTGAACCCTAAGTGACATTGCCCAGTTTTATCCCTTATTCTATTCACCAGGTTTAGCAGAAAATGACTGTTCCTTGTTATAAAAAAAAAAAAAAATCCTATGATCAATAATCGCACTACTGGGTATTTACCCAAAGAATACAAAAACACTAATTTGAAAGGATATATATACCCTTATGCTTATTGCAGCATTATTTACAATAGCCAAATTATAGGAGCAGCCCAAGTGTCCATCAATAGATGAATGGATAAAGAAGTGGTATGTCAGGGCGCCTGGATGGCTCAGTGAGTTAAACGTCTGCCTTTGGCTCAGGTCATGATCCCGGAGTCCCGGATCAAGCCCCACATCTGGCTCCATGCTCAGTGGGGAGTCTGCTTCTCCCTCTGCCCCTCACCCCACTCTTGTACTCACTCTCTCTCTCTCAAATAAATAAATAAAATCTTAAAAAAAAAGAAGTGGTATGTATATACAAGGAAATATTACTCAGCCATGGAAAAGAATCAAATCTTGCCATTTGCAACAGCATGGATGGATCTAGAGAGTATAATGGTAAGTGAAATAAGTCAGTCAGAGAAAGACAAATACCATATGATTTTACTCATATGTGGAATTTAAGAAACAAAACAAATGAACAAGGAAGAAAAGGAGACAAACCAAAAAACAGACACTTTACTATAGAGAACAGATGGTTACCAGAGGGGGAGGTGGGTGGAGAGAGGGGTGAAATAGATGATGGGGATTAAGAGTACCTTTACCACGATGAGCACTGAGTACTGTATAGAATTGTTGAATCACTATATTATACACCTGAAACTAATATAACCCTGTATGTTAACTATACTAGAATTAGAATTTTCAAAAATTTTAAAAATAAAATAAAAATAAACTTTGATTTTGGAATAAAAAAATCTATTCTGACTAATATTTGCCAATATAGAGAATATTAAAAAGAATATACTGTAAAATTCAAGGTAATTCCTCTAAAAGAATGTCAGCATTTGTTTGGACATATAGATGCTGACCTGTTTTTATTTTTAATCATATTGCTTTAAAAATACACTCTTAATTTAAAATTTCTGGTATCTGAAGTACTTAACACTTATAAAACCAGTGGACTCTTACTTGTATAAGGTATACATAAGATAATATAAAAGGGCTTGCAACTTTACTAGCTGTGTTATAAACTAGATCATACCAATCAATCTAATGCCAGATTTCTTGCAGCATTCTCTCTAGGACAAGAAACAGACAAATAAAAAGCAATCTAGTCATGAACATCACAAACTTGTTTACAAGCCATCTTTGGACTGATACATCTTTGGACTGTGCATTAATTACGTCTTTGTATAAGAATGACATATTTTCTTATTACCACCTTTTATTTCAGAGCATTGGGGAGTCAACAATGTCTGTTGTGTTAAATCAGCTGCTGCCCATGATTAAGCCTTTGGACGAGAGGACCAATGATGACTACAGCCCTGAAGAGCTGTTGATCCTCCTGATATATATTTATTCTATCAGTGGAGAGTTCACAGTGGACAAAAACCTGGGGGAAGCTGAAGAAAAAGTGAAGAAAGCATTGGCTCAGGTCTTTTGTAAAGAGTCTGAATTGTCACCTTTGCTACAAAAAATCACAGGTGAGTGTTTAATAAAAAATATAGGACATAAACATCACTGATATAGAAAAGGGTTTAAAAATAAAGGTATTTTAGAAAGAGGTGAAACCACCTTCATTGGAGTTGTTTGGAATTTTATGAGGCCTGATGAGTACTAGCCAGCCTTTAGGATTAGAGGTTTTCATTGCAATATTTTTTTTCCAGCTATAGTGAAATTTTCTTCTAATTGCCCATCACAGCTCCTATTTCTAGAGCCTTGTTAAAATAGCAAAATTTTCACAGGATGTAATATCTTTAAGAAAAAATAAGATGTGCAGCCTATTCAAAGGGTTTCTGTTGACATAGTTTCTTTGAGATTGTCATTTCAAACTTAAAACACACACACACACACACACACACACACACACAAAACTGTTTCCCCAAAATGTTATGCAATGTCATAAAATTGAAAATTGCAATTTTTGAGAGTACTTTTATACTTTTTACTTCTCATATTTCCTCTTGAATCTGAATTAATTGGTAGTATCCCAGATAATATCCGAATATCCCAGGAAAGGAGGCTATGCTGATTCGGGAAAGAAATATCATACACTCTAACCATTTTTACTTTTAATAAGAACTGTGATGTAACTCATAGAGACATTCATTTGTGTTTTTCTTATCAAACTCAGTATTATTTCTGTTTTGCACAAAGCTTATTTCCTTTAGTACGGATGGAGCCTGGGTCTGTTTAAGAGTGGAAATTGTTAAAGCTTACACACAAAACTTAAATAGTCTAAAAACATACGTAGCTTCCATTCATTCATTCGTGTGTGTGTGTGTGTGTTTGTGTGTGTGTGTGTGTGTGTGGGTATGTGCAGACCTCTCCATTCAGGAAGGCTCCACTGAGGCACATTATGTATTTCCCAACTCCTCTTCCTGTTGCCTGTTGTGCCTCACTGAGGGGAGCGTCCAGACCACTCCGAAAGAGGCTGTGTAGCTGTCCACCGAAGTGCCCCATGCATGGTGCTGGCCTTCATGCCCACGGCTGACCTTTTCTATGTTTGGCTATGGAAAATGAAACCCTGACAAGATGGAAACAGAAGTTTCCACAAAAATGAAACATTTCCTTGCTTAGTACAGAAACTCTCTGCCAACTTAAAATCTACTTAAGGAAAACTTGTGGAATTTGCTCCCATTTCATTAAGTTACAGCTCTATATGCGTCTACGTGTTTGTTTGGCTATAAATGAATATTGACTTAGAAAGGTTTAATATGGTTTATACAGTGCTCCGAACAGTAATTTGATTCAAAGTAAATTTGAACGCCAAGAGAATTTAATTGGGAGTTATTCTTAAAATGCATAATTTCAGAAACAGACAACAAAGATGGTTTGTTTTAGCTGAGGTTCTTTGGATGGCTTTTCTGTAACATTAGTATGTTGCTGTATTATTTTGGGAATTGAAGTCATGCTGGAAGAGTATTCGTTTAATATTCGCTCAAGGTGTTTATTGACCCAGCATTTCACTCTTTATTACTTTCTCTATGATTGCTTAGGATATTGCATTCTCTTGCTGTTAAATGTGACTTCACATTTAAAAACACTTCTGTACATTCATGTTTATATCAGGAAATTAGTAAGTTTAGCAAATGAAGCTTAAAAATAAGAATTTGTAGAAATTTTAGTATATTTAAAAATTTTAGAGACATTTTGTAATATGAAGTATACATTCCTACATCAGTAAACTTTGGATGTACAGTTTAAGCAGGGTGGGTAAGATGCACTACTTAAATTTGGCATAGGTGAACTTACTAGTGGGATACATATGCGTCACTCCACCTCTATGGACACCAAAAGGACTTTTTTCCTGAAGATAGACTTTTACTTGGCCATAGACATACCCCTATTAAGTATCTTGGAAATCCAAATGTTCTGAGAAGTAGGGTTTATGTCTACAATTAGCTGCTGAGGCAACTGTTTACATCTCAGGAGAAAAGCACTAGGATGGTGTGGGAGTAGCAGTGACTCAATCTTGTAGAACAAGGTGGGATATTCCCTTATATATTGAAAGAATAGAATCACCTTCCAAATTGCCTTACAAATGCTTGGGCAGTTGTGGAACTAGGTTAACCTGGCTTTACCATGAACTTGCGCACAGTGTTGGGTTTATGTTATTCCAGTTTATAGTCTTGGCTTACTTGTTACTGGGTGGCAGAATTTCTTTTATGGCTTGTGCACATTTTGGGGTTGATGAAATTTGGTTTAAAACTCTTATTGAAAGCAAGCAATTAGTCAGTAAAACTCCACTTTTCATATTATAATTTTATTAATCTTAATAGAATCAAGAAAACAATGCTTTTTCTGTACTGAAAACTCAAGCATGTGATCATCACCTAAAAGTGAAAGGATCAGAATTTGAACCCAGGTGTTCTGGGTCTGGAGCCCAGGTCTTGACAAGAGATTCTAAACTTGCTACCAGCTCACTTCCATAACCATTGCATTTATTATATTTTGTAACTGAGGCTTGCTTAAATTTACTGTTTTATGCCATGCATGCTCAGCCATTCCATCATGTTCTTATTTTACAAACAGTGAATTAATATTTGATTAATGTTGTAGATATCGCCTGTTCTTTTTACTCTGTCTGTAATAGCTACTTATAGATGTTTCCTCATGCCTTCCTATTTTCATGCATGTATTCTCTTTGTTTCTGCATTGCCATTAAGAAATTAAAATATTATTTCTAGTCATTGAAATCTTTTGGTTGCTAGCTTTCTAAAATAGGAGTGGCAAACTTAAATTCTTTTTATTTCAATGATATCTCTTGACAATAATTGCCCTGTGTTTAAAATTCATATTTCCTTTTTATATGTTGAATATGTAATTTACTTTTGATGATTTCTTTCATTTCTCCCTATTCTTCCCTTTTATGGAAAGCACAATGAGAAATTGTAATTGGCAAAACATACCAAAACTTAAGCATGGTCAACGGCAGTGTACTATTTTCCTTTTGATAGCTACTTTTAGGGAGAATGGCAGGCAAAAAGTCTCTTTTCTACTCACACAAAATAACAAGGGCTGGCTCCCTGAGTGTCAGGGATAGGAATTGTAAAAAGAAAATTGGTACGGCCTGAAAATGTCATTTACTGTGCTTTCTCAGTCTTGCTAAATTCAAAGAGATTATCAGTTTCTGTGTATGTTAGTGTTTGCCTAGCAGTCACAAGAGAAAACAAAGGAAAACCATTTGAACTTTCTTCAGAGAATGAAGTCAAAATTCTAATTTTAAAGATCTGTGTAAACTTGGAATGTCATCATACAGGGAGGTATATCAGATAAAGCATAGAGCTTAGATGTAAAAATCCCTGATTCAAAAGTCCTGGCTCTGTCATTTCCTAGTGGTGTGTGTTAGTCATCGTATCGTCCATCTTTGAACCTTGACAATAAACATAAGTGCTATATTGATGACCACTCAGTGATTTTACTAAAAATAAAATGATGTTATATGGAGCTAACATATAACAAATGATGTTATACGTGAGCTAATTTCCAGTCCATACACACTGTAAATAAGTAATCATCTCCTATGTCTGTTGTTATTTTGATAGCTTGTAGCTGTCATGTAGGGCAGTACTTCCCAACCTTAATCACATTGTGACACACACAGACAACGAGTATGCTTGCATAGTGTACTCAGGCAAGTGGACACAACTTTTTGGTCAGAAGCAACCAGCCCTGGGGCTTTGGCCAGTCCAAACCCTACCTACCTAACCTGTGAGCCGAAGTGAAACAGCTCGGCACACATGTAACCTATTAGGAGCAAATCAGTACTCGAAGGGTATGTTGGTCAGCAGGTCCTGGAACCAGAAAAAAAAGGAAACCAAAATTTGCGTATAGTTTTTGACACCCAAAACTATTTTGGAAAAATTTTTTTGGTAAACAACTTTTATGTTGTTTATTGATTTGTCTCTGGATTTTTATACTATCTTTAAAGGAAAGGTCAATAGGGGCTAGATCTGTTGAGTTTAGTGTAAAGCTAGGGAATGAGTGATTCAAAGTATCTAAAAAAAATCTATAGTTCAAGATAGAGGTATAATGATACCATGGAAACTGTATTTATATTTATTACACTCTTATTCTTCTTCCTGTTGATAATTTGGGGTTATCACTTATTGTACCATTGTATAAGGATTACACCTGGATATATATAGTGGGAAATTTACCAGATTAGCTTAACAAATAGGGATTTATATTTTCTCAGCAGGAAGTTCAGAGACAGGCAGCAGAACTCATGTTCTTTCTGGCTCCTTTCTTTCTTTCTTTCTTTCTTTCTTTCTTTCTTGCTTGCTTGCTTGCTTTCTTGCTTTCTTCTTTCTTTGTCATCATGGTCATGAGGTCGTCACTTCTCCTTGACTTAGTATGTCCATGCTTGAAAGTAAGAGGCATATATTAACAGAGGCTGCCCTTTTTCATATTAGGGAACACAATAACATTTCTCCTCTCCTACTTGTATCATTGGCTAGAACTCGGTTTCATGATCACCTCTGGCTCCTAGAGTATTTTTAACTGGGCATCTATTTCTCATGACCAAAGTCAGAGTTCTGTTAGAAGAAAGAAGGTGAGAATGGACAGTAAGTAAAAAACTTGTATTTGCTGCAGTTATTTTAGGCTTCTCTGATAGGGAAAATTGTAAGGGAAGATAATATACTGTGAGGTAGAGTGATGCCCATGGTACTTTAATCCACAGTTATAATATTAACGTTTCTTTTACAGTATAAACTGAAATAATGTGCTATTGTGTGCTAGTGTCACTGGACTTACATCACAAATATTTTCAACCTATCAATATTTGTTGAATATGTCTACATACCTGGCATTATTCCAAGCTCTTGAAGCATAGAACCCCTGGGGGCAGTGGTAGTGAAATGTAAAGGTTCTCAGCACAGGATTAGGAGTTGTGTGCCTGGGTTTTAGTTCTGACTCTGAATTTTAGTAGTTGTGCCATCTTGAGTAAGTCATTTAACTTCACTGATTCTCAGTTTCC